TCATTTCTGCTGGTTACGCACTTCCGGTTGTGGCTCGCCTTGTGGAACCAAACATTGCAGTTCCACCTCGCTACCAAGGGGCTTCCGGTCTGACTGTGGCTCTCGGTAGAAGTTCTTTAAAAGATCTACAAAATAAAATACTTATTAAACATTTAAACATTTAACAGTACTTTATGTTACATACACGTATATAGTTGCGCGTGAATATCAGCCAAGCTAACAGTGTTCTGAAGATGATACCAACAAGGAGTTCAGCGTGATTTGTGCGACTGATCTTGTGATAACGAAGAAACTCTGCGTTAAGGTGAAACGAAATGTGAGATAAAGTGATAAAGGGCCATCACTGTTACGAAGAATCAAAAACAGGAGGAAAAACGTCGGGAACTCAACCGACTGCAACAACGGAACAGGACAACATAAACAAACCAACCGCGAATATAATTATGAAGTGCAGGATTGGACCAGACAAAATAAGCGCAGCTGCACGTGAGGATGCTAAGCAGAGGCTGTTAACCGTACCGGTAAAGCTTATACCGTACTGTTACAGGTACGAGCAGAAGACATGGAACAGTACCTTCGTTCAAAATGACTACAACTTCTACGGAAAACTGGAAACAAAATATAAATCCGCTCGTAACGTGGAGACTGTTGATCCTAACGCAGAAACGTCGCTTAGTCTCCGAGAAGGAAGTTTTGTGACAGCAACAAAGAAGGCAACCTTTGTAATGGAAATACAAAAGAATACAGATGGAATTTCCAAACAAAGAGAGAACACAATCACTCAAAAGAATGCAAGTAGGGCACTCAGAAGGAGAAAATCCTGGACTGTATCATCTGGGTGGAACCAAGTGAATGCGTTCTGGCTTCAAGGCTAATGTGTCTACACTCGCGAATAGCAATTTTCTTGCACAGTGTTTGACGAAGGATCAAATTCTTCGCTAAACGAAGAAGTGACACACTCAGGCTTGAAGGTTTAGAACAGGCTGAACAGAACTGCATTGTGAATAACTACAGACCGATCATGTACTTTCAAACGACGCGGAAACAACGTCATTTCGTAAAAAGGCGGCTACCAGACAATATCAAGGGGACCCAAAGATGAGTTACTCGTGAACGAGGCGCTACAACGGGATTGCAAAATTTCCAAGACCGGCAGGAGCTGAATCG